AGCTGGTACTAAAGTGTTGTCACTGACACTGATTGGCCAGAGTGCTATTGGAAGGCATGGTTACCCAGGATTAGATTGGAGAAGAGTAGAGTAGAGTAGAATGAGTATTTTCAAGGATGAAAAAAAAGAACGGGCGACAGTAGCTCAGTTGGTAGAGCATTGGCCTTTGAGGCTGAAGGTCGTGGGTTCGAGCCCACCGCAAGACCTACTTCACGACTCCCACTGATGACTGCTGCCGTTGTGTCCTTGGGCAAGACACTTAATCCCACTTTGCCTGAAGCCCCCACTGAAAGATCTCAGCTCCTGTGGACTCACCACCTGCAGGAGGATCAGTGAGAGGCTGGTGCTCTGTGTACTGGGTGCAGCTCTGACTGACACCCCCCCGACCCAGAAATGGATTAAGGGGAAGAAAATGGATGGATGGATGGATGGAAAAAAAAGAACACCAACAAAAAACTCTTAGGAAACATGATTGTCCATGTGTAGGTGTAACTTGTCCTCAGCCCCTCCTGCATCAGCAAGGAAATATTCAAAAAGTGATAAGAATAACCTCTGGGAAGCCCATATTGAGAGAGAGATCTGTTCCTGCAGACAGACAAGCTGTAGATCCATGACTGAGGCTATAGATCCAGGAATGAGGCTGTAGATCCAGGACTAAGACTGTAGATCCAGGACTGAGGCTGTAGATCCAGGACTGAGACTGTAGATCCAGGACTGAGACTCTAGATTCAGGACTGAGACTATAGATCCAGGACTGAGACTGTAGATCCAGGACTGAGACTATAGATCCAGGACTGAGGCTGTAGATCCAGGACTGAGGCTGTAGATCCAGGACTGAGGCTGTAGATCCAGTACTGAGGCTGTAGATCCTGGACTGAGGCTGTAGATCCAGGACTCAGGCTGTAGATCCAGGACTGAGGCTGTAGATCCAGGACTGAGACTGTAGATCCTGGACTGAGGCTGTAGATCCAGGACTCAGGCTGTAGATCCAGGACTGAGACTGTAGATCCAGGACTGAGGCTGTAGATCCAGGACTCAGGCTGTAGATCCGGGACTGAGACTGTTGATCCAGGACTGAGGCTGACAGGACTGAGTAGTGTATGGCTCAGTTGGGCTTGTTAGAATAGGGCTACAGTGAATGCTGTAATATAAGCAATTTTAGCGACATGCCCGGGAGTGTAGGACAGATAACAGAGCTGCTCCCGATACGTGTTCTCCTTTAGATGCAATATTTACAATGGTTAAACACGTATAGTGGTAATTTCTTGTTTTATTTGAAAAACTGTAACAGCTGCAGAACCATGCCTTCTCTTAGTGTTTTTAAATTCCTCTTACAGCTCGAAGCGCGCATGCGTGTGTGGGTGCGTGTTTATGTGTGTGTGCGTGTTTATGTGTGACAGAGTGTGTGCGCTTGTGTGCGCGTATCCAGGCGCACACTCTCACTCAAAGCGTGAAATAATTTGTGATCAACATCAAAGTGAGTCTTTATGTTCCTTATCTGTTGCCTCCAGCCTCTCATTATCCATGCACGCCTTCTGCAACGCGCCGCAAAGTTGGGAATTCAATTTTCTCCTCACAGAGAGGCACAGGCCCCAGTGAGAGCGGGACGTGTTCTGCAAATGAAAAAGTATCTGTCGCTCTATTCTATGGAAATTAGCTCACAATGCTCTGAAGAATGACAACGCCTTGATGTGGAGAGACGCCTCCACCACCACCCAGGGCAGGGCTGGATTCAAGGACACAACACCAGAACCCTGACAACAGCTACAGCTATAGTAATGTCGTTTACAGGGCTTTTTTACTGTACTAGTGAGGGCAGGATACACTCTGAGGACACGGGCTTGAGGACAGGGCAGGCTCTGAGGAAATGTAGCAAGTCCAACGTAGCTCTGAAACAGTTGTTGTTTTGTGCTTTACAATTGTAATTTTTCTTGCTTTTTTTCTACCTGTAGTACAGTGTCCATAGTTTAACACTAATCCAGACCAGAGCAGAGAGGATCCACGGACGAACCAAGAAGCAATCCACAGGAGTAATCCAAATTTTTTGAAAAATGCTAACAAAGCTTTCAGCGTTTTAGTCTGTTTACACCCAGCGGCTACACCACCTCTGCTGCTGTGTCCCTAAGTGTGGTTGGTGTTAGCTATTTTTAGATGTTTGTGTTGATTTGTTTTGTTTGTATTGATGCATATGTTTTGCTACTAATGGACACCTGAATTTCTCCTACGGGGATCAATAAAGTATCTATCTATCTATGTCTGATCCGGATCTCCAAGATGTCTGCCCATTCAAATGAGTGATCAGTGCTCATTGGCGCATACTCGCACAAAAGAATGCCTCATCCCTGTAAGACTACTTTAATAGTTTTTTTCTGGTGTTGGCAAATAAAATATGCCAATTGTCCTTTGCTGATTGTGAATTTGAGCTGTACAAAAATAAATAGATTTTGTATGCGACTCTTGTCTGCTTCGTAAAACAACATAAAAAAATACCTGCACACTTTCCTAAGCCAACACACAGGTTTAACACGTTTTAGGATGAATATTTGCTGAATGTTGAGTTTGTTGAAAGTTTGATCAACAAACTTTATTGTGATTATTTTATTGTGAAGCACTTTGGTTGCCTTGAGTGTTGTAAAGGGCTCTATAAATACAATTGATTGATTGATTGAACAAACCCCCTCCCCCCACTCATCTCTCCTCTCCCTCCACTCATCTCTCCTCTCCCTCCCGACCAGTGGGGGCGGGTCCCAGCTCAAAAGTGGTCAAAATGACGTGCGCTGACATGCTTGCAATACCACCCCGGGCCGATGGGGGTTGACCCCTAAAAAGAATTAGCCAATGCTAACATATAGCATTGGCAGACCTCTCGAAAACGTCTTTACAGGTTGGCCCAAAAGTTGGCTCTTGGCCCAAAGCTCCGATCCACATGTGTGTCAATGCTTTTGGAGTTTATACGTTTATATCTAATCCAAAATATCAAGAGTTTTACCCCAACTTGTTTTTGTGAAATGTGCGTAACTGCTTGCCGTTTCTATTTGTTGTTGCATGCCGCCGGAAAAATGGTGCAGTGGCAAGAGCTCTGGTGTGTAATCTGCTCGGCATCACGCCGTTTTTTCAATATGGTTTTACTGCAAATGTCAAATATAATCTCTTGGTTTTTTTCGATCTTTAACAGCTTCAAGGCCTCTTCAGTCCTGGCTCTACAGCCTCATTCCTGGATCTATAGCCTCAGTCCTTTTCCGTCTGTGGGAGCGCATCCCTCTCTCAATATAGGCCTCACCGAAGTTTCTCAAAAAAATGTCCCATTGGGTTTCTGAGCAGTTCCTTGCCAGCTGAAGGAGGGTCTAAGGACTGTGATGATACAAGACATTTCTTAACGTTTCTGGACAGTGACCATCCCACTCCCGATGGACCAACGGCTCATATGTGTTTGTTATTATTGCATTTCCTATGTTTAAACTATTTGATTTTCTGACCTGTTCTTTGCAAATCAACAACTTTACAAAGACCTCCAAGACAACTGCTGTGATGCACAATTACATTACATGTGGGGGCAGGCTTGCTTTTGAGCAAGCGTATTATTAAAGTACAGTTTAAACTTTCACTTAATACAGATGACTTCATTTAAGATGCAACTCGTTATTTTACACATTTCATCCCAGTTACCTAGCAACCGTATAGTGCACTGTGCCAGAACTCCTCCAATGAACACAGACAATAATATTTGACAAATTTAATTTAAAAGATGTTTTCCAAGAAATCTGAAGATTCTGAGTGTGATTGTGAGTGTCATTAGCTCAAGAAATGCTCTACTTCCTGTAAAACAGACATGTCCAAATTTGGCCCTCTGCCGCTAACACACAGTAGTCTTAGAAATCATAAGCACAGTGTCATCCAGCCAACTTTCGCTCCATTAATACAGTCATCCTAGCCCTCGTGAAGTTCAGAGCCTCACAAAGTCAGCCGTGTATTAGAGTAAACATTTGTAGTTCAGCCAACTACAGCCTGAATCCAGTCAAAACAGTCTGGTTATTGGTCATTGGACAAGTTGGCTGGACATAAGTGGGTCTCTGACTAAAAGATTTGGCTGTATGTTCAACATGTGTTCACCAGCTGTGACTTCCATCCATCCATTTTCTTCCCCTTAATCCATTTCTGGGTTGGGGGGGGGGCACCAGCCCCTCACTGATCCTCTTGCAGGAGGTGAGTCCACAGACAGCTGTGACTTTTATCCTTCTATTTTAAAGGTCATATATGTCGCTTTTTTTTAAATTTCACAGTCCATTGTTTTCTTCTGCAATTTTCAGGGAATGGCTGAAGCATTCAGGCCTGTAGCTCCGTTTCTGTTATAACCAGAGAAGCAATTCTTTGTTTGTGAACACTCCAGAGCTTGTTTTGCTATTCCTTGGGCAGAAGTTTTGTAACAACAAGCACATGGCCCGTTGGCATGTACTGATCAGACCAGCGTAGTATTGAGGTAGTCCACCAACGTACCCACTTTGTCTAGGAGGGAAGAGGTTTATCTCATGGTGTGTGGGGGTCTTGTCTCATTCAAATCTGTCTGTGATACTGGTGCAGTGTGTAGTTGGGTAGCGCGCACAGCAGCCAGGGCACTTGCCATACCCTACTGTGAACAATCACAGATGTACAGGGTTAGATGGTGTGGTAGATAATTGTGCTGGGGGGCAGCGGAGATATTATGAGTGAGTGCTGTTTGTGTGAGGCAGATGGGCTCTTGTTTTGGTCCTTGCTGGCACATGTTGGAGGCACGCATTGCACAGACGCATTCCCGCGCCGGGCATGCTGGGAACTGTAGTCTTTGTGGTGGTTTTGGGCGGCTACTTTGGGAAATCTGTGATTTAGTGTTTATTTGAGAGTGGAAAGAGGGATATCTCATCAAGCTCCCAAAGAAAGGTGACCTCAGTTCATGCTCCAACTACAGGGGAATAACGCTGTTGTCCATACCAGGAAAAGTGTTTAACCGCATCCTGCTGAACCGAATGAAAGACGCAGTGGACCCGCATCTCCGTGACCAACAAGCCGGCTTCCGAAAAGAGAGATCGTGCACGGACCAGATCGCAACCCTGCGCATCATTCTGGAACAATCCTTGGAATGGAATTCGCCCATGTACGTCAACTTCATCGACTACGAAAAAGCGTTCGACAGCGTGGACCGGCAATCCCTATGGAAACTACTGAGACACTACGGTGTGCCAGAAAAGATCACCAACATCATCAGGAAATCTTACGAAGGGATGACCTGTAGAATCGTCCATGGCAGACAGCTCACTGATGCCTTTGGAGTGAGAACCGGAGTGAGGCAAGGCTGCTTACTCTCACCTTGCCTATTCTTGCTGGCCATAGACTGGGTAATGAAGACGTCGACGAACAAGATGCGAAATGGAATCCAGTGGACACTCTGGGAACAGTTAGATGATCTAGACTTTGCTGACGATTTGGCCCTTCTCTCCCACACCCATCAACAGATGCAGGAAAAGACCAGCAGGGTAGCAAACAACTCCGCTAGACTGGGCCTCCACATAAACTGAGGGAAGAGCAAGGTGTTTAAGATCAATGCATCCAACAACACACCCATCACAGTCCAAGGCGAGGCGCTGGAGGAGGTAGACAGCTTTACATATCTCGGCAGCATCCTGGATAAATATGGGGGAACGGATGAAGATGTCAGAACCCGCATCGGTAAAGCGCGAACAGCCTTCCAACAGCTGAAGAATATCTGGGGATCCAGCACAATTAGCATCACCACCAAGATCAGGCTATTCAATACCATCGTGAAGCCAATACTCCTCTATGGAGCAGAGACCTGGAGAACCACTGTGGTCACCATAAAGAGAATCCAGGTCTTCATTAACTCCTGCCTCAGGAAGATCCTCAAAATCCGATGGCCAGAAAAGATATCCAATGAAGAATTATGGACGAAAACGAACCAGCAGCCCGTTGACGAAGCTATCCTTCAGAGACGCTGGCGATGGATAGGTCACACCCTCCGCAAGTCCGCGTCCAGTATAACTAGACAATCTCTCACCTGGAATCCTCAAGGAAAGAGGAAGAGAGGGCGACCTAGAAACACCTGGCGCCGAGACCTGGACGCAGATGTCAAGCAGATGGGTAAGACGTGGGGGCAGCTGGAGAGACTCGCCCAGAACCGAGATGCCTGGAGGAAGCTGGTCGGCGGCCTATGTCCCAAACGGGAACACAGGCGAAGATGAGATGAGATGATGAGGAATAAATGTTATATTTATTATTTTGTATTTAAATAATAACTACTAAATGTTTATTGTGAAAATCAATATTTAATGTTTAGTAAGAAAAATACACTAAAGGGATCATTTGTGAAAACTTTTTTTTTCTTCCAGGTTTATGACCTGTAGCGTAATATGGGACCTTTAACCAAGAGTCATTCCACTAAAAAGATAAGAACCTGTTATACGCACTTAAGGCTTTCACATAGTTACTGCTAAAGACATGGAACAGCAAGTTTAGACAAGAGTCCTAAAGCCTTTTGGACAGGGCCATGCACACACACAAGCAGACGTCCGTAAGGCAGTGGTCTGGAGCCCACTTGATTTGCTCCTAATGTCCACGTCGATACATCAGCACAGTCTAATGGAGCAGCAGCACTCACTGCAGCTAAACGGTGCCGTGGTGGATCCATGGCATTGACAAACGGGAGAATCTGTCAGACCCACACCTGAGCTGTCTCGATTATTATGTTACATGCTGTGAGCGTCATATGCAACTTGCTGGAGTGCAGGGTTGCATGTGAAACATTTGAGATCTTATACCTTTCCAAACTGGGACATAACAAACATCACAGAAAATATGCTGCATACTGTCCCATTGTCTGTTTCACGGAGTGAACATGCCGTCTATAACTGCTCTTGTGAACAAGTCACACCCCGCCCGGACTCATAGGAGACCCCCTCCTCCATGCCTGGATTCAGTATGAATCCTGAATCTACAGCCTCAAGCCTGGATCTACAGCCTCAGTTCCAGATCTACAGCCTGTCCTTCTGTGGGAGTAGATCCCACTCTCAAAATGGAGCTTTCCAAGTTTCTCACTTTTTCTGGGAGACATTGTACTCCTTGTAAAACTCAGAACCTTAATAATCCAGTCGTTTACAGTATTTGTATATACTCATTTCAATCTGGAGAGACTTGAACAGACAAAACATGGTTATCATTACTATTGTATATTGGTTGGCAAGTAATCTGACACAACACAACTATTCATATGACTCTGAGGATAATATTTTCAAGATTATGTCACAGGTTTAAAAGTGTCTGTTGAGGGGGTGTGATCAATAAAAAAGCAGAAGGGGATAAAAAGGGGAACAAATTTAATAAAATATATACAAAAAGGATCAATAAAAGATGATAAAAAAAACCCGCAGTCCACTCGTTTCTCCCCACTGGCTTCCGCTCTTCTCAGTCCAAGGACCGGGCCGCAGTCCCGCCAGCCGCTCTCCGACCACGGGTCGCCACCGGGCACCCGCGGGGGAGAGCCGGCACATCCCGGTCTCTCTGTGGGCCTAACCCGGGTGCGCACGCGCCAATGCGCTATCAACCAGCCTCACCGGTGCCGCTCTCCCCGCTGGCCTCAGTGCCCCGTGGTCTCTGGCTGGCGGTGTTCGTCCTTGGCCCGGTCCCGTGTCCTCCTCCTTTGGACTGGGTCTGCCTCTCTTCCTCTCTCTGTCCTGCAGTGCCCGCCCCCAATTAAAAGGTCTTGATTAAAACAGGTGCGGGTTGGGGCAAGTGTCCAGGGAACAGTGATAAAATGCATGCATTAAAACCATAAAAACACACAAAACACATCACAAAAATAAAAGCAGTTAAAAGTCCTTTTTAAAAGTCTACTTTCCCACAATTACATTTATTGATGCTGTAAAGAACTGGTTAGGATTTGGCGCTTAGACACCGGCAGAGCACTCCATGATTGCAGAAGGGGATAAAGATTATGAGATAAAATCCACCAAAAGGAAGGTGCACCTTGGAGTTTGCTTGACTCAGAAGAAGGCCTTGACTGAAATGAATGATTACTTGACAATAGATGATGTAAGGCGGCATTTGGACAGCAAAGGCCAGCAGAAATGACGTGCACCCACTGATGAAAGAAGGCGATTTTTTGTGCTGCGAGAATGTGACGTAAGCAGAATGAACAGTTCAACACAGAAAACTTTGAATCAATAATCTCCCTAGATTTCCTGGATCAACACATTCCTTAGAACATTCTGCATCTGCAAAGAACAACTCAAAAAACCCAGTGGGAAAAAAATAAAACATCTCGAGGAGACCCCCAAAGAAGAAGACAGTGCAGTCTGTGTCCGACCGTGCCCAAACCAGATGTCGACAAGCTGTGGTCCTACTGGCCGCTGTAAGAGAGGAGCCGTGAAGGCAATACCGCACTGCAAAGAAGAGAAGAGAATTAATGCTGTGCATAGCACAGATGCAGCATGGCCATTGGCGCAGCCGGCACTGTATGCCACCGTTGCGGCTATCATAGTGAGCCACCGCCGTGGGCGTTGTAGCAAGCCACCGTCGTAGCGTGCCACCGTTGTAGCGTGCCACCATCGTAGCGTGCCACCGTCGTAGCGTGCCACTGTTGTAGCCATCATCATGGCCGTTCAGTTATGGTTTGAGCATCAATCCCTGTTTGTTGTGCCCTATAGTTATTACAAATGGGAATACTGTTGGGAGAACACTCAATCCTCCTGTCCCTTCTATTATAGCGAGTGTCGGATGGCCGAGCAGGGGATGGGAATGGTTCAAAGAAAGGGGCATCCACACAGAGCGAGCTGCTGTGTCTCAAGCCACCACACAATGATCATGAGATGGAGTGCGCACTACTGACAGTCAGCAGTGGGGTTTTGGTGTCGAGGAAGGGCAGGCGGTAGACGTCATAGCGAAGGTACAATATAGGTAGAAGACCTCGCCCCCGTAACTGAGGTGAAGGTAACCAATGAGCGTCCAGCTCTGGAGAGAAAAAGCGGAGCACATTATGTCTCTGTAAATGTGATGGACTTTATTTAGAGCCAGATTGCTGTGAGTATTGATCAGCTCCAGTTTGCCTACAGACAGAATAGGAACGTTGGGGATGCCATCTCCTTTGCTCTGAACTCTGTCTACAGTCACTTGGACAATATTTTTTTCTGTTGCATGAATGCTTTTTATTGATTATAGCTCTGCTTTTAACTGCCTTGTCCCAGGTAAACTTATTGAAAAACTCATGTCTCTTGGTTTAAGTGTTGCCATGTGTAAATGGATTTTTAGCTTTTTAACTGACAGATCTCAGAGAGTGAAAATCAATGACTGTTTTTAAGATGTTGTTTCTGTGAGCACTAGATCTCCTCAGGGATGTATGTAGAGTACACTCGTGATTGTGTGTCTTCCTCTGAATATCTTGATCAATTAAATATGCTGATGACACCACCATCCTTGGTCTCATCAGTGATAATGATGGATCCTCTTATAGAGCAGAAATCCAAAATGTTGTTCAGTGGAGTAAAGATGACAACTTCAGCTGAACACATTCAAAACATGTGATCTGGTCTTTGATTTTAGCCGTAACAGTTCTCACATTCCTATTGTTATTGATTACTCCCAAGTGCAGATTGTAGAGGAGGACAAGTTTCTTGGTTTAACTCTGAAATGCCCAGGTGGTTAAGAAAGCTTGTCGGCGTCTTTACGTTCTGTAGAAACTCAGAGAATTTACCACTAAGTCTATGATCCTGCTTAAGTTTTATCGCTGCACCTTTGAAAGTTTGCTTGTTGGTTTTGCGACTGTGTGGTTTGGTAACATCACAGACAAAGAAAGGAGAGCTCTAAACAAGGTGCTCCGCTCTGCAAGGAGGACTCTGGGCTGTGAGCTTCCTGTTCTGGAGTTTCTTTGTAAATCTTAAACAAAGCTCTTAGATTAATCAATGACTCTTCTGGCAACCCTGGAAAAGCCATGCCTTCATCCCTTTGGCAGGAGATATTGTTCGCTGAGTTGCAGGACATCTTGTTTTGCTATCCACAATCTGTTTAGATATACTTTATTGATCCCCGTAGGAGAATTTCAGGTGTCCATCCATACAAGCAAAACAAATAAATAGATAGTTTTAAAAATAGCTAACAATAGTATTAAAATGCACTTTAGGTCACAACAGCAGAGGTGGTGGAGTTGCTTAGTTTGGACCATTTTCTTTGCTCTGGTCTAAAGTAAAATGCTGAATGCTTTGTTCCTGTTTTTTTCATTCTGTACTTTTAACTCATTAACTGCAAGCCGTCTTTGAGGATTTTGCATCGAAGCCCTCCTCTGGAACGAGGAGATGGAACACAAGCTCTTTTTTCTCAGAGAAGGAAAAGTCAGCGTACTAGTTGGTGACCATCTGAGGCAGTCAGAGCCAAGGGCCACCGGGTCAGATGAAGAAGGGGATACTGGCCCCAGGTTGATTGAGTCAGACTTGACGAGAGCATGAATAAAGTTGTGCTGCTTGGAAGGAGCTTCCTCGCAATATGAATGCTTGACGAGGGGCAGTGCCTGATTGCTGCCAGGTGAGAGTTTATGTGTGGTGCTGCAGCTGATGGATTTCTGTTGCTATGAAGCAACAGTGGGTGGACTTAGAACGCTGTGATCTTAGTTTTTCCTTGTCTTCCAGTCTGAATATCCGCTTTCGATTTTTTTTCTTCTTTATTGTGTCTTTGTTAGGGCTGTCAAAATTATCGCGTTAACGCACGTTAATTAATTTTTTTCATTAATCGTGTTAAAAAAATTAACGCATTTGACGCATGCCCATGCGTCCCATAATAACACTCAGAATGCCGCGGACACATGCGCGTGTGTAAGATGGGGACAGAGCAGGTAGGCCCTTGGGGAATTCAAGTTTTGAAAGAATACACGCGTGACCGCGAAGCACTTGTTGTTTCCCGTATGAACTCTGCATGATGAGCTGCGGGCGCGACAGCGCTCTGGACAGCAGGTCCCACTTCCAGCGGCTGTGATCACGGCGAACGGCGCTGCGTAATGGGATCATATCCAAGACCACGCACAGAACTATTACAGAACTATTCTCTAGTGTGCGTACGTATCTTTGCGTAACCAATGCACACAATATGTACAGCGCTGAAGCTGGACTGCGGAGCCTCAGTCTCCTTCGTGTCTTCTCCCAAAGCGCACTCGCTAAATTAAAGCTGAGGTACCTAATTTTCCTTTCGACTACCAGTTCAT